AACTCGCTATTTTCGGGTAAAGGGCCTCTATTGCGGCCGCCACGTTTTTCGGATCTTGGTTTCTGACCTCGATTCGATCGGAAACCTCGACGAGTACCTCGCCCGCGAGAGAGACTCGCAACTCTTCGTCTTTCACGGGCGCGTGAAGCTTCGCCGGTGCGACAAAGCGCTTGTTTGCCGCGATAATCGCTTTGGTCTCATCGTCCGGAACAAAATCATCGACCTCTAAATTGTCAGCGTCAACATCTACGTCCGTCCGAGAACAAGAAACGGGCTCGTGATCTACGGCGTACAGCGCCACGAAAGCTTCGACGTCAAGCGCAGAAGACGACGAGTCGAGTACACGCTCTTCGACCTGAAACGCGACGCGATGCGCAACGATCGCCTTCGCCCAATTCATATCGGTCTCCTCGGGTTCCTGTTCTCGCAATACCACATCGCCGTATTCTTCATCATCTTCGTAGCTCAAAGACTCCTCGGGAGACGAATGTAATCCGCGAAGCCAAAATACCGCCCAGCACAGCTGTATCACCGCTTCGTTGCGCACCAACCAGTCGCGCTCCCTAGACGCCTCTAGAGCGGCGTGCTCCGTCAGAAACGCGCAGTATGTCAGGAGCGTCGTCTGACATCCGAGACACGAGAGGTTCAGCACGTCGCGCTCGCGTCGGCGCACGGCGCATACCGCCGACCAAGGCGTGTATCCGCGCGATCTCATCTCCGCCAACACGGAGGTGGCTATCGCCACGCGGCGGGGCTCGTCGTCGTCGTCGCAAACATTCGAGATACATTTCGGATCTCTAACAAACACCCGGGTTTCGGTCGACGCGCTTACGGCCACGCGCAACCAATTGTAGAATCCGTGCGCCCAGCCCGGTTTCAGCGCACAGTCGGAGCCGCGACGCTTTTTGAAGTCCGTCACCCACTGGGATCGCAAGAGCGCGTGAAGTACAGGAGCGAGCGCGGCGTCGCAATAAAACGGACCGAACTTCTCGATGCCCGAGTCGGCGTTTTCGCTACGAGCGAACCATACGCTCATCAAGCGCAACAACCCGTCGTCGTTCTTTTGTTCTAGGACGACTCTGTTCAATTCGGGCAGGTGCATGCACGCGGCTCCGGCTTGCTTCAACCTGACCACCGAACGTAAGCATTCCTCCGTCTGGGTCAACCACGGCCCATACGGCGAGACGTCGCTGAGATACACGGGCGCCGGCAGAGTTACGACCCTGTTATTTCTCACGTAAGAAAACTTCGTCGCGGAAACCCTCTGAGCGCCCCGTTCCTCGTACGATAGCACGTACGGAATCATGCGCCCGCGCGCGGCTTCTTCGTACGGTATCTCCGGAGTTGCGTACGTTGCATGTTGTTCTTGTTCTTCGTCGAGTTCAAGCCAAATATCTGGTAGCGCCGACGAACATATCAGACACTGAGTCGACGATTCGGATTCCTGGTTTGACATCCAACCTCCGTAAACTAGATAATCGCAGTTAGCATCCATCGTCCGTACTCGAACCTGTTATAGAAGAAAGGTAAAGTTTTAACAATCTTCAGTTACGGACGACGCGGGCGAGTGAGGGGGCGAGCGGGGGGCGAGCGGAGATCTCTCGTAAACATGGCCACGGGCGC